CAAACCCGACGAGGAAGCTATAGAGAATTGAATGGTTCACAGAAGAGGCAAGTTTGTTATAATTGGATATCTTTAAGTGAAGGGATGGGTGGAGGAACAAGACCGCCGTTCGATTTTGAGAGAGAGAGAGGTGAGGTTTGTTGGGAGATTTTTGGATGTATATCGTTTAGGGTTGTTATCCATGGAGTTTAGAAAAATGAAAAATAAACATTTTTGTCAAATGAAGAAAGAAAATGCAGCTTGAAAGTTTAAACTCAAAATTTAGTTGTATGTACAGATAACAGTAGAATTATAAAAGAAGAATGTGGATGAAAATTAGTTTCTTCACAACGCTAATTTTATTTTTTTTATATTGGAGTATGTGAATTTCCTTATTTAGGGTCATGTTTGTATATAATGCTATGGCTTGTTAAGTTTGTACCATGTTTGCAAGGAGGCTTTTTAGAGGTTTTGAATACTTGAATCATCCATACCTTTTCTACATTCTATCTTATTTTGATTGAAGTCGTATAGATAGAGATGAAATCTGATTTTAGAGTCAAGTACACTTTTATTAAGATCCCTAGCTTTTGCAATTTGTGTAATTGGATTCAAGAATCTTTTCATTTTATTTTTAGAAATTTCGATAGGCTCCGTTCGTTTGGCGAAAAATATTCTCCCGGAAAATATTTTCCGGATTTTCCGGTGTTCGGGGGGCGGAAAACGTTTTCCGTGGGAAAATATTTTCCTTCCCCTCCCTCACAAAATAGCCTAAGTCTACGGAAAATGACTTCCGCTTCTTCAAAAGCGGAAATCATTTTCCGGAGCTTCTTTTTCTTCTTCTTCACTAAGGTCGCCGGCAGCTACACGCACGCCTCCGCCGATCGCCCCGCGGCCACCGGTCGCCCCGTGGCCGCCGCCGCCGGCCGCCGCGCCGCCGCCGACGCCGCTCGCCGCCCGCCGGACCCGCTTGTGCCGTCGGTCGCCATGCTTGCCTTAGCCAGGTGTAATGGCCTTCAGCAATCGATCAGCCATTCGGCTATGCCATTGTCGCCGGCCTCGGGTCGTCGGCCAGCCATGGGTCGCTTGCTGGCCCAGTTGCCCGACCCGGCCGCCGGTGCAAACGCGCCACTTGCGGTCGCCCGGCCCGCCGCCGCCGGCCGCACCGCCCGCCCGGTCGCCGGCGCCGCCTTCCGCCGCCGGCGCCAGCCAGGCGTTAGCCGTCGATGCTTCTGCCCGCCGCCGCGCCAGGCGCTTCGGATGTTGGCCATCGGTCGCAAACGCCCGCCACTGCGCCTTGCCGCCGGGCGCTTAACCGCCGGGCCGCCGCCGCGGACGCCGCCGCCGGCCGTCGGAGAAAAAAATATTTTCCGAAACTTTTTCATATTGGTCACCGAACACCGGAAAATTATGTTCCGGGAAAACATTTTCCAGGAAAATGACTTCCGGGAAAATATTTTCCAAAAGGAGAATATTTTCCGCCAAACGAACGGAGCCAGAGGCACAGGTTAACCCCAAGCTTTAGAGTCATGCTAAGCACAACAAACTGATCATCCAAGCTAACTAGGACCAGCATTTCTCACACAAATGAACATGTTTATACATGATTATCTAGCATATCCAAAGATGACACGAATTTAATCTACATAAGTTTTACATGTGTTCATTTTCCTTTTCTAATGCTATAACAATTGGAAAATTCTATCTTTATTAACTTTAAATTCCAGACTAAAAATAAACAGAACATATAAACCTAAATAAAAGTAGAACGAGCTAAAGACATATCTTCTTAATTGTTATACTATCTGTATTACAAACCAAAGCCATCCTTTCAACAATCTTTACCAACCAGAACCACCTTAGTACTAGTCACCTGGCCATAATGAGAAGCCCGAAGAGCAGTGCTAATATCATCCAAGGGGTGTCGCCCCTCATCGAACAAGCCACAAGGGGATATAGAGAGCATCCCTGACCAGAGTCTAAAAGGGCAGTTCAGCGCCCGCATCTGCTTGGAAAGTAGTCGAGATGGCATTGTCATCCGTGGGCATGACTGCCAAAGAGAGCGCTAACATGAATCGCGTGCTGTTGGAGCTGAAGGAATGATTGGCTCTGGAGATTGATGCTTCTGGCAAGAGTGAGCACATCGCAAGACAGAATGAGTCCTTCGAACTGACTCCTCTGGAGCCTGATGTATTTTGTGATGTGAGTTAGCTGATGAACCAACGCATTCGGTTCTGCTTCACCCTTCACGCTCACTGTTTATGATTTGGATACATCTGTGAAAATGTGCCATGAGACAGAGCTTAATGTGCTGCAAAACCTTTCTTTGGGTTTGTAATTGTGAACAATAGGATTTTCTTTTGATGATAGGATAGCATTTCAAGGTTTTCATGTACCATATCCTCTTATTAACTCATTGTAAGATATGAAATGATAAAGAAGAAGGAAAACTGCTTTCTTGTACTAAAAGAACAAATTTACTTAACCTTGTCTGCTAAGTAATTTCAGAAATCTTATGCCATTGAGTTTAATAGACCTATGCGCTTTGTTTAGGCCTCATATTACAAAAACGAAGAAGACTCTTTCATAGCTTTGAAGCATTTATACGATACTCAGTAAATGTGACCACATGTTGCGTGCTCGCCAAAAAAAAACCTTCTAGATATTAAATAAACCACTTTATTAAAAAAACTAAATTATCAAATCATGAATTCATAAGAGTATACGAAGTTATTATTTAAATATATAAGGTAAGAGAAAAATATTGCAAGATTTGCAATCCTTTTAAGAAAGTGGACAGCAAAGATTCATATTTGTAAGTTGAAATTCATCAAGAGTACATTTTTAATTGAGGCATTTGACAATATTTTGAAGAAGAAATTAGTATTAAGATTGTTTGTGCTTTATATAATAGCATAGCTTACACAATAAAATATGAGTTGCAATGAGAAAATTCTATAATGACACGACATGACGTGCTTATAAAGGAATAAATGCTTTCCTTTAAGTGTTGTTCCAAACTTTTAGAAGTAAATGTTGCAGTTGATATTTCGGACGAATGAGTATATTTTTCACAAGGCCTCCTACAATCTTTTTTCCTAACCCTGCCATGCTTGCTCTGTTATATTCCGTAATAAGGCAGAATGATATGGCCGTATTTGCCTTTTTTGGGTGTTTGGTTATCTTTGTCATTCTTGTGTTTAACTGAACGTCAAAAAGCTGTTGTAGTTTCTGTGATTATCGCCAATGCAACCAAAGCAAGGACGTCTTCATGGGGGGCAGCAGTTGGTGCATTTATCTTATAGGTTTGGGAAAGAAACCAAGTTGTTTGCTTTGAATCGATTCATATGCAGATAATGACTCGGCCAACGTTTGCATACCACAAATAATTTACATTGGGCAATTTTATAAAAGCCGTCCATAACTTTATCCTTAGTTACACATTGCACCCTCTATTTTTCAAACTTATAGTTTGACCCTCTATTTTTAAACCCCAGAATTTGTACCTTAAAGTTTCAAGGAAATTCTACTTTTCACCCTCTAGTTTGTGTAATTTTTCTAACCTTTTTCCCAATGGTGCTAGACTCCAACATACGAAGTGTCGGAGAATGTGGTGAGGACATGGCTTCCACAGCGGGCTGGCAAGGTGCGGCCACTGCGGTTGAGGGATGTGAATAGGGGGTTGAATCAGTTAGAGTGGCAGATTCCTATCTAAGTTTGTTCTGTTCTTGGAAATTAATAACTGGTTAGCTTTGGACCCTATATGCAGCTGCTATAGAAAGATAAATAGTTGAAAAAAGCTGTTGTTTAGTTGATTTTATTTTCTTATCTACATTCAACATGATTTATTTCGAAACATCTTTCCAGGAGTTGGATCATACAGTGTTATGTGGTGATTTTGAAATTTTCTTATGAAACTTTGCTGGAATGATAGTATATTTCTTTTTTCTTTTTTGTAATACGAGAGTGACGATATGACTTTTGGTCCTGATGAAAATCAGTTGTCCACCTTTGATGAAACCATTCATGCTGGCTATTCTCACACAGAAGTACTTCTTTGAATTAATTTTGGAAGGAACACGTGTGTTGCCCAAATTTCGTAGAGTAAATAATATCTTGAGGTGCTTGATATGTAGGAAGTTTCGAGACTGCTAGGTGGTGGTCTCGTTCCAGGTTTGACCTACTTTTTTGCTGTATAGTCCGCATGAATCTGCTGCTGTTCTAGAACTTTCACTTGATATGCAGAAGTTTTGAAGAATTTAATGTTATCAAAGCTATTGATTTTGCTGCATTGTGGCTCTAAAGGTTCCTCAATTTTGGTGGGAGGTGATCCTGGTGTTGGCAAGAGTACACTGTTGCTGCAGTTAATGTACTTACAGGATACATTAAATATTCATAAAACATGTTTAGTTCTCTCTCTCTCTCTATATATATTTCCCTGTCTAACCATTGTGCTTCGATTTCGTATATTAGTATTTTTCCATTAGAAGCTGGCTGCAATGATTGCTGAAGGGTGCGATCTTGGCAGATCAGCTCCAGTAGTATATGTCTCTGGGGACGAGGTAAATGGAGTTCTCACGTTAGCCTGATGCTGTCTTTGCTCTTCCATAAATTCTATCTCAGGCTTTCTTTGGCTTGTAGCCTAAGTAGTACCGACATGCGACACGACACAACACAACATGCAACACGTCATTTTTAAAAAAATAGAGAATTCCGACACGTTGAGATACGTTATATATTAAATATATATTTTTATATATACATGATAAATTATCGTTTTTAAATTTGATTCAATAAAGTAAATACATAATAAAAAAACCTAGAATGAATTTACCCTAAAAATATTATACACATAAATTTTTAAAAAATAATTATGTATAAATAAATATTTTAGTTAAGAAATTAAAAGTAAATAATCAAATTTGAAAAAAACGAAAGTGTAAGATAAAAAATAAAAAAATCAGCCCATTGTTAAAAGCCCAGCCCACTTTCACTTTATCAAAACCCTAATAACTATCTTCTTCCCTATCCCTTCCCTCCCTCCGCCTCCTCCTCTCTCCAGCTTCCTCCTCCGCACGGCCCGCAGCCTCCTCCCACCTCTTCTTTCTCCTCCGTCACCGGCGAAGCGCGAGGCAAAGGAGATGACAGCGTGAAGTGCGTCGTCCTTGGCACCGGAGAAGCGGGAGGCGAAGGAGATAACGGCGTGGAGGGCGTCGTCCTCGGCGCCAGAGAACTGCACCTTCTTCCTCATTTCTCTCGGATGCACCTTCTTCCTCATCTCTCACTGTGTGACGAAGGGACTCGCGTGTCACCGGCGTGTCCGTGGCATTGACCCGACACGTGTCGGCTGCGTGTCCGACACCGACACGGACGCCTCCCCAGCTTGTCGGTGCTTCGTAGCTTGTACCGTATCATTTAGCCATGCGACAATTTTACTCGAGGAGTCTTTGATAGAAAGCTACATCACATAATGAAGATATAGATTTTGTCCGAGAGGCGTTTGCTGTATGTGTTGCTTATCTTTTTTCTGGTCAACCTGTATATGTCCTCATCATATGATTCATATCACACTTACAGTCTACCTCTCTTTGATTTTGTGGTAGAGTGCGGAGCAAATTGAAAGTAGAGCTGACCGTCTAAGCATTGGAACTGAAGTACTGTATTTGTACTCAAGCACTGATATTGCGGTGAGTGCAAAGTCAGGATGTTTGCATTGAGCAGTTATTTATATCTCTCAAATTGCTTTTACAATTTTGTCCTGATTTTTCATGTATAAATCGGATTGGATCCTTGAGCTGTGAACCTTTTTATGGCTTGTGTACATTAAAAAATTTCTCTCTTTTTGGATATAGAAATTCCAAAACTGTCGTAAATTCAAAAGTGCAGATTATGCATTTGCTCTGTGTGAGGCCTGACATGCGTTTTATTCTGCAGACATACTAGAACAAATTAAAGTTCTTTCACCTCAAACTTTGATGTCGATGCAATTCAGGCAGTTTATTTAAAAGGAGTGGCTAGAAATGCTAGAGGTTCACAGGTAACATCTTTGCAATCTCCCCACTGGCAAGAGGCAAAAATGATCTGAATTCAGGAGATTAGTGATTGAGTTTAGGGAACTCGAATTTGTGAAGTGATCTTGTGTTGCCAAAAGTTCTTTTGCCTAAAGTTATTTCACTTCTCTTGTGAGATTGACCGGTATTACTAGCATGTGGTCGTTGTCACATATTCAAGTGAGTTTTTCTGATAATTCTATTGGTTAATCAAGCAACTTTACCTGATATTTAAGAGTACTGATATTGATCGCTTCATCTTGACTATCTTTGTAAATGAACCGAGGACAAATGTGTGATGGATCTTGACATTGATTTGTGGCTGGTGAAAGAATGTACATCAGAATTGCTTCGTTTTGCAAAGAAGACAAACATTCCCGTATTATTGGTATTCGAAATTTATTAGTCTCATCGTTTGTTTTGTACATGGTAAATAACCTACATATTTGGACCATTCCTATATGATGTTATAGCATCTATGTCAGCCCATGCAGCTTTACTGTCTTGGTGATATTTAAGTTGCTGTAACAACCAATCTTTCAAGAAGATTTTGCTTATGTGAGTCCCCACTCTTGTTGATTATATGTTTCAAATTGGACATGTGAAAAAATCTGGAGAAATAGCTATTCCCAGAGCTTTGGGGCACACTGTGGATGTCGTTTTGTATCTGGAAGCTGGTACCTTTATCAACATTTCTTTTGTTGTATTGCTAGTGGATTTGCTGAAGCTGTGGCGTAACTGTAGCATCCCATGTTAGGTCTTCTAGAGTCACTTACGCTCCGTTCGTTTCACGAAAAATAACTTCTGAGAAAACGTTTTCTGGGTTTTCCAGTGTTCCTTTCACGGAAAATGAACTAACCATGAAAAATATTTTCCCTCAATGGACAAAACACCTCCAAAAGTGTGGAAAATGTTTTCCTCTTTTTGAAAGAGGAAATCATTTTCCCCTTCCATCTTTCACCACTCATTTTAATTATTTTAATTTTCTTCTTTTAAAAATTCTAATTTTTAATTATTTTTTCTTTTTCTTTTTTTTTTGACCTTCTTCTCCGGCTGGTCGCCAGCCACAGCGAAGGCCGATGATCGGCCATAGGTGCTGTTCGAGCGTCGCCTGAGGATGGCGAGGCTCTGGCCTAACAGATCGGAGCCGCTTGAACGTCGCCAGAGGTCGACAAGCTCGCGAGGCGGCGGTGAGCTCGCTCGCCAGAGACTAAATTGAACATTTTCATATAGTTCATAGACTAAACTAAATATGTACCAAAAGTACATAGACTACATTAAAAAAATTAAAAGTTCAGGGACCACATTGAACGTTAGGCTAAAGTTCAGAGATTATATTGAACAAATTAAAAGTTCAGAGACTAAATTGCACATTAGGTCAAAGTTCAGAGACTGTTTATGTCATCATCCCAACAAAAAAAACTACTTCGATGAATGTGCATGTGCCCCAGAAAAGGCAAAACTAGAGATGAATTTATTAGGGAAAGAGTAGACTTGGCTCCAATAGAGGAAAAGTCAAGAGAAGCTTGTTTAAACTGGTTCGGTCATTTCGACCAAAAAAAAAAAAAAAAACGATTTGGTCATCAAGCTTATTGGGAAAGGTGAGGACATGGAGTGTTCAAGATCGAGGCGTGAATTTCCTAAGAGGCTGCACACTCGAGTTTTATTCATTGTCTTGAGAGTATGTTTATTTTCTGTTCACCCCATTGTTTTGTCATCAATTGATCTCTTTTCTATCATCGATGACTAAGTGGGTGCAGCTAGGTTTATACCCATGGTCCTCAAGCGATTGTATTAGCTTGATGACACGTTCTAGAGGAACGAGTATACAACATTAAATCAGCACGATTGTCTCCGGCGGTGTGTACATCTTATCTATGTACCTCATGCTTGTTCTCATCGTATACGTCAAAGACTCCTTCCCTGACGTTTCGAACAACCGGGACCAGAGACGTGGGTTCGACCATGCTCCATCCGAAGACGATCTCCGATTAGGGAGATAAACATCGGAGAGGTAAATGAGGCCAATAGAGAATTGGAAGACAAGGAAAAAAAAGGTACAAGACCTATTTCGAGTTATTTACTTTTATGAGTTGCATGAGTCAGGGATCGGGTCAGAATCTGAAGGCTGTGCTATTTGCTTGGGGGTTCATTGAAGGTGAGTTCTATTGGGTCATTCCTTCATGTAAGCATATGTTTCACTCTTTTTGCATTGATCACTAATTAATAAGTCGTTTCTGTTCCCCTGTGTGTCGAAATTTTGTTTGACATGACTTTCTAATCATTAGTAAATCAAAATTCTAGGTGTAAAACTCTCATTAATCATTTGCCATAAGTCTTTCTGGAAAATGTGTATAGAAGATACATAGCACATGCACAACAAGGGGATAAGATACTGGTGGCGTAGTGTACCTTCTATACACTTATTCTAAAAAAGCTTATGACAAAACATTAATAAGAGTTTCACCTAAAATTTTGATTTACTTATGATTAAGTAGTCATGTGAAATAGAATTTCGGCACACAGGACTACAAAAACGAATCATCAATTAACGATTAATGTAAAAAGAGTGAAACATATGCTTCCACAAAAGGAGGACCCAATAAAGCTCGCCTTCAATGAAATCCCTAAGCAAATTGCACAGTCCTTTGATTCTAACCTGATCCCTTGACTCTTGTACTCACAAAAGGAAAAAACTCGAATATGTATTGTACCTTTTTTCCTTTCTTCTTTCAGTTCTCTTATGAGGCCTTTTTTCCTCTCCGATGTTTCTCTCCCCGATCGGAAATTGTCCTGGGATGGAGCATGGTCCAACATGTGTCTCTAGTCCTAGTTGCCTAGAACGTCAGGGAAGGAGTCCTTGACGTATACGGTGAGGACAAACATGAGGTACATAGATAACATGAACATCTATCTCAATTAATTATTAATGGATTCATTGGAATAAAAAAAATTCATGAGAAAATCAATTTAGGATGAACTTCTCGCGTTGGAACGGATTATACAATGTCTATTGTGGCTACATGACCGGTAGAACTTTTTGATCTAAATTCATAGTCGGCACCAATTTTTTGACATGAGGAAAAAAAAAAAGACTCATGTTCTATACATCCTCTCTACAAGAAATATATCAATGTCACGCAAGAGGAAAGACTAACTTAAATGACAAAAAACAAACCCACCACCATTTGTGTAATTTTTGCACCTCCAACTCCAACTATCAGAATTGGAGTGGAAGATCTGATACCCTCACTAAAGCATCTATGGTTTCTTGTTGATCGATGAGAACTTCATCCTTAATTAGAAGAAAAACTACTATCAGCTACACAAAAGAACATACAAAAGTTAAGAAATATTGAATGTTTGTTTTCACTTTACGTTATTATGAGCTGAACCTAGTATATGCTATGGTTATATGAAAGTGATTGGCCAGCAAATTTGAGCAGACCTATTGATCACTGGACCATAGGTCCTGCCAGGGCAACATTGTGCGAGGCACCAACATAATAGCCATAATGCCTTCAACTCCTTCAATCTACCAACAAAGAGTTCCAATTGTGAATTATAGAATTAAATATGATGTCCTAGGGTCTTTTTATTAGCGTCTCTGCTCCAAAAGCAAGTATATTAATAGGGTTGTGCAAACTCAGTTTACCTATTTTATAGTCATCTGGAATTCCATTCAAGTTAAAATAGTGTGATATAGTACCACATATGTCCTTCCTCCACATCCTCACGCAGAAAATTATCTCGTCAAATTATAAAACCGTCACTTCTCCAATATCCATTAGAGCCTAAAATGTTGGCAACATGAATTTCTAAATGTATAGTCTTATAATATCAATTGATTATAAGGACAGAAAAAGCATGTCAATTAATAAACGATTATGCTTAGGAGGCAAATGAACATACCCACTAATAGAAGTTATATTTTTTCGAATGATGAATGCAATGCAAGGAATTTGGGTTTCTAGTATTTTCATATGAAACTGAAAGGTCCAGAACTCATGCGGTTATGATGCTTTGGACTTTTAAGCTTCAAAGGAAATCCTAGAAGTCCAGATTTCTTGCATTACAAGATCCTTCGGGAAGATACAAGTCCTACCAACACGTATGTTAACTTGCCTTTTAAACATGGTCGGTTATCAGTTGAAATGCTTTTTCAGTTTTTATAATCAATTGATGTCATAAAGTCTATCCATTGAGTAATTCATTATCAATATTTTAGGATATAATGAAAGTTGGAGAAGTGATACAGTTCTATGATTCGGATAGACAATTTTCAGCATGTGGATGTAGCGGAAGGACATATGACAGTACTGTATCACACTGTTTTTACTTGAACGTAAGTCTTGATGGCTATGAGGTAGGTGAACTAAGTTTGCACAACCCCATTGGTATATTCACTTTTGGAGTAGAAAATAATAGAAGAGCATGTGGGACGTCATATCCAATTTTATAATTCACAGTTATAACTCTTTGTTGATAGGTTGAATGAATCAAAGGCATTATGGCTTTTTATGTTGGTGTTTTGCGCAATTTTGCCTTGGTATGACCACTTTATATGGTCCAGTGATCAAGAGGACAGCTCAAATTGCAGGCCAAACACTTTCATGTAACTATACATTCTGCTCATAATAACGGTAAAGTGAAAACAAACATTCAATCCTTCTTAGCCATCAAGACTAAGAAGTTATATTTTTTATTTAGATGATAGAAGTTTTTTCTTCTTGTTTAGGATGGGGTTCTCACTAATCAACAAGAAACTTAGACAAATTAGTGAGGGCATCAGATCTTCCACTCTCAGTTCTGATAGTTGGAGTTGGAGGTCAAGACTTTACACAAATAGAGGTAGGTTTATTGTCCGTCATTTAAGTTCAACTTCCTATTGCGTTACATCGAAATATTTCTTGTAGAAATGATGTAGAGAGCTTAACAATCTAATTTTTTTTTTTCTCTTGTCAAATACTTGGTGCTAACCATGAAATTAGATTAGAAAGCTCTATTGGTCGTGTAGCCACGAGAGACATTGTATAGTTTATTCCAATGCGAGAAGTTCATTGTAAGTTGATTTTCTCGGGATTTTTTTTGTTCCAATGAATCCATTAATTTTAATTAATTGGGATAGCTGTTCATGTTAGGCATATTGTTGTAAATCAAGCCGAGAGAGGTTGAAAACCAGGCATTCTTGGTAATGTTGTCATTTTATAAAATCAATCGCAGTTCCCATTTGTTTATCTTTGTTGTGTTCAAGCAACTTCGGCACAAGTAACACTTCGCCGAGAATTGCTCAAAGAGATATATGCGTAGTTTTATATCTCTAGCCTGCATGTAGTTCAAGAATTGTCCATAAAGTTCCTTTGAAAGAGCTTGAACCACTGATATACTCCAACCTCCCAAGAAGAGCTTAATTTTGTGTAAGTTATTGTCGAGAGAAGACAAATGGAAAAATTATTCGGATCTCAAAGACTATTTTGATAAACTTACATCTTATTGTAAAACCCTTCCTATAATCACCAAAAATAAAAAAGAAAAGAAAAAGAGGAATAAAGAATCAGCTAACTAGAACTTTTAGATCTGATATTGTCCTCTCTAATCTTAATTTAATCAATTGAAATAAATGTTGTATATTAATTGGCTTTTAAGATTATATGCCAATATATGATAAAGTTAGGATGGGTAAACAAATGAATAAGCTTATGGACACTGAGGAAACTACAAATTTTCAAAAAAAAAAAAGTTGGC